ACTTAAGTATTTGCATATTATAACAAGCAACAAAACGTAAAAGCACTTTAAAGGATAAGTTCACCTTTTAAACAAAATTTTTTTTTGCAGGTAAAAAAATGTGCACTTATTATGTTTTTTTACTTGGAGCCTGTAAACCATTGCAAAACTTCTGCAGACTTGTCAGTGTATCTGTCTGCTCATACCTCGTACGGGTACGTTGATACACAGTGACAGGAAGAGACGATGAAGTGAATGAACTCAACAGTGCTGTGGTAGTGAGAACTACTGTACAAGCCGACAGCCACAAAGGCTATAGTAGTACTTTTACAGAACTCTGTGTATGAATGACGGGTCGGTCGGGCGGACCCCTGCACAAATGTGTTTTTTTTTAAATAGTGACAGTTAGTGGGGCAGAAGATTCCCCACTAGCTATCACTAGATGCAGCGGAGCGGGAACATGTTACATTTTCCACCCTAAAAAGGGGTGGAACATGTAATATGTTCCCAAAAGTGAACTTATCCTTTAAAATGATTCCCCATTCACTTCTGTAGCTATAGAAATTGTGGTGAAATCCAGCTTCAAAGTTGACTACAGAGACACAATCGCAACTATTTTTTATTTAGTGCAGAATCTTGTCAGCCTGCAAGCACTCTAATATAAATGCACAACAGATGTTTTCAAGCAGCTTAAAACCAACTGACACTTGAACTTAGAGTAAACTTTGAGAATTAAATTACTTTACCGTAAATGCAGCTATAGGAGTTAGTAAAGGCTGTTTTAAAGCTTTTTTTCATATTGTTTGGTAAGAATATACAAAACCTTTAATGTCCATAAATAGACAAAGAATAAATCCGTGCTAAGGCACTAATATAAATAAACAAGCAGCCCCAAAAATATATGATATCAGTTAAATAGCATATATCGAAGAAAAAGCAGCACTAAGAATCAATATATGATCAACATAATCTTATGTGAAAAAAATATAATCAATATTTCATTCATAAACCACAAACGTGATTAAAAAAAAATATATTAAGTGTCCTATACAAAGGGTAAGAGGCCCTTCTGCATTGTGGTGGAGGTGGTGGAGTCTTTATCTCCCACATGGAAGAAAAATATATTGAAATATATTTTAAAAATATTCTTCTCAAATATATTGACATATATTTAAAAATGCTACAATGTCTGCCATATTCAATATATTTCAAAATATATTTCAATAAATATATATATATATATATATTTATATATATATAATTGTATGTTGAAATGCATTTTTATTACAAAATATATGACAAATATTTAAAAAAAAATACATTTCAAATATACTGTATGTCTTTAAAAATACAAATCTGCATTTTTGGAATGCATTTACAAATACAGGTGAAACGCAAAAAATTAGAATATTGTGCAAAAGTTCATTTATTTCAGTAATGCAACTTAAAAGGTGAAACTAATATATGAGATAGACTCATTACATGCAAAGCAACATAGTTCAAGCCGTGATTTGTCATAATTGTGATGATTATGGCTTACAGCTCATGAAAACCCCAAATCCACTATCTCAGAAAATTAGAATATTACATGCAATGAATAAAACAAGGATTGTACATAGAACAATATCAGACCTCTGAAAAGTATAAGCATGCATATGTACTACTCATTACTTGGTTTGGGACCCTTTGGAGCAATTACTGCCTCAATGCGGCGTGGCATGGAAGCTATCAGCCTGTGGCACTGCTGAGGTGTTATGGAAGACCAGGATGCTTCAATAGTGGCCTTCAGCTCTTCTGCATTGTTCGCTCTCATGTCTCTTATCTTTCTCTTGGCAATGCTCCATAGATTCTCTATGGGGTTCAGGTCAGGCGAGTTTGCTGGCCAATCAAGCACAGTAATCCCACGGTTATTGAACCAGGTTTTGGTGCTTTTGGCAGTGTGGGCAGGTGCCAAGTCCTGCTGGAAAATGAAGTCAGCATCCCCATAAAGCTCGTCTGCGGAAGGAAGCATGAAGTGCTCCAAAATCTCCTGGTAGACGGCTGCATTTACCCTGGACTTAATGAAGCACAGTGGACAAACACCAGCAGATGACATGGCTCCCCAAATCAACACAGACTGTGGAAACTTCACACTGGACATCAAGCATCTTGCAGTGTGTGCCTCTCCATTCTTCCTCCATACTCTGGGTCCTTGGTTTCCAAATGAGATGCAAAAGTTGCTCTCATTAGAAAAGAGGACTTTGGACCACTGAGCAACAGACCAGGTCTGTTTTTCTTTAGCCCAGGTAAGACGCTTTTTGACAAGAGGAATACAACATTTGAAGCCTATGTCCAGGATCCGTCTGTGTGTGGTGGCCCTTGATGCACTGACTCCAGCCTCAGTCCACTCCTTGTGAAAGTCCCCAACACTTTTGAATGGCCTTTTCCTGACAATCCTCTCCAGGCTGTAGTCATCCCTGCTGCTTGTGCACCTTTTTTTCTTCCACACTTTTCCCTTCCACATAACTTTCTATTAATGCGCTTTGATACAACACTTTGGGAACATCCAACTTCTTTTGCAATTACCTTTTGAGGCTTTCCCTCCTTATAGAGGGTGTCAATGATGGTTTTCTGCACAACTGTCAGGTCAGCAGTCTTTCCCATGATTGTGATTCCTACTGAACCAGACTGAGAGACCATTTAAAGGCTCAGGAACCCTTTGCAGGTGTTATGGCTTCATTAGCTGATTAGAGTGGGACACTTTGAGCCTAGAATATTGCACCTTTTCACAATATTCAAATTTTCTGAGATTGTGGATTTGGGGTTTTCATGAGCTGTAAGCCATAATCATCACAATTATGTCAAATCACGGCTTGAACTATTTTGCTTTGCATGTAATGAGTCTATCTTATATATTAGTTTCACCTTTTAAGTTGCATTACTGAAATAAATGAACTTGTGCACGATATTCTAATTTTTTGAGTTTCACCTGTATATGTGTGAAAATGACTTTTTTATATGTTAAAAAAATCTGATGAATATATTTAATATATATATATATATTTGTAAAAATATGTATTTTTTAAATATATTCTTCAGATACGGCCCTATCCAGATCTCCTAGAGTAACTGCCTGTCTCCTGGAATCTCCTCCATGCTCCTGAAACTGTGCTGGGAGACACAGCAAAACCTCTGGCAATGGCACGTATTGATGTGCCATCCTGGAGGAGTTGGACAACCTGTGCAACCTCTGCAAGGTCCAGGTCCTCATGCTACCAGTAGTGACACTAACCCTAGCCAAATACAAAACTAGTGAATAACAGTCAGAAAAGATGAGCAGAGAAAAATTTGTCAGTGGCCTCCACCTGTAAAACCATTCCTGTGTTGGGGGTCATCTCATTATTGCCCATATTGTGCACCTGTTGTTAATTTCATTAACCCTTTGAGGACCGTAAGATTTTGGAACGCCAAAAGAATCAATTTTTTTGTTCGTACACTTCAGTTGCTGTAACTAAGCCATTTCATGAAATAATTGGCAAAAAGCTAGATCCATTTGTTGTTTGTTGATAAGAACTAATATTTTGACTCAAACCCCCCAAAAAAAAGAGTTTTAAGTTCTTAATCAGATGATACACGCAATTAAAAACATGGGACAAATATGTCCCTTGGTCCTCAAAGGGTTAACACCAAATCAGCGGAAAATGATTAAAAACCCCCTCTGCTACTTAACTGATCTGATCAATGTCCCAGGAGTTTAATTGACCTAATGATATACTTTGCTTAAAAAGTTTTCCTTTAATTTTTTGAGCAGTGTATATACTGTATATATATATATACACACACACACAGTACAGTCTTTCTCTGGCTGTCTTCCTGCTTTTTTTTATTCACTTTTTTCATTCCAGGAATTGCAAATTAACCGTAAGTTGGACAGTATGTACAAAACAGTCTTGACAAAGAGATAGACATGTTTATGTCTTTGGTTTAGTTCTTTTACCTTGACCATCTGAATCCTCCATTGTTCCCGCCAATGGAATTAAGTGGCATTTAATATAATCATACTCAACTCCAAGAATCGGAACCATCAAATCTGAAGGTCCAGGATCTGGAATCTCCATGCCAAGAACCGCAGGAATCCACAGCTCTGTCTTGTGATACTTTATCATTCCTGAAACATCCAATGAGAAATGAAGTACAATTCACTTAACAAAACTGCTTCAAAGGTAAACTGTAGTAATATAAAAAGTCATTCAGTGTAGCTTAGCGTGTGGTTGCCATCATCCCTATTTCCATACCAGAGAGAACTGTATCTTACATTTAATGGGATTTATAGGGCAACCTTGAATTGCACATAAGGAAACCAATTATTTAAAAGATCAACATTTTATAACTACAATTTTAAAGTGACTGAGTTGTTAAAATTGCTGTACTCTATATTGGCGAACATGCTATGTCTATTGTGTATGTGCTGAATTGCAAAACAAAAGAAATCTGTTTAAATAAAATGTTGATCTTTTAAATACTTGTTTTTTTATGTGCAATTCAAGGTTGCCCTAAAAATCCCATTAAATGTAAGATGCAGTTCTCTCTACCTGTAGTAATATTGAATTGGTGTGCCATGAAGAAATAGATTTACTAATTTATAAAGTTATTTCATGAAGCTGTTTTGCCCAGCCATACAAGGGGCTGTTTCTGTAATTGAAAGTATCCAAATGTGGCACAACAATATCCCTATTCCTCTGCCGATGATAGAAGGCATCATAAAGGTGAAACTCAAAAAATTAGAATATTGTGCAAAAGTTCATTTATTTCAGTAATGCAACTTAAAAGGTGAAACTAATATATGAGATAGACTCATTACATGCAAAGCAACATAGTTCAAGCCGTGATTTGTCATAATTGTGATGATTATGGCTTACAGCTCATGAAAACCCCAAATCCACAATCTCAGAAAATTTGAATATTGTGAAAAGGTGCAATATTCTCGGCTCAAAGTGTCCCACTCTAATCAGCTAATGAAGCCATAACACCTGCAAAGAGTTCCTGAGCCTTTAAATGGTCTCTCAGTCTGGTTCAGTAGGAATCACAATCATGGGAAAGACTGCTGACCTGACAGTTGTGCAGAAAACCATCATTGACACCCTCCATAAGGAGGGAAAGCCTCAAAAGGTAATTGCAAAAGAAAAGTTGGATGTTCCCAAAGTGCTGTATCAAAGCACATTAATAGAAAGTTATGTGGAAGGGAAAAGTGTGGAAGAAAAAGGTGCCCAAGTAGCAGGGATGACTGCAGCCAGGAGAGGATGTCAGGAAAAGGCCATTCAAAAGTGTTGGGGACTTTCACAAGGAGTGGACTGAGGCTGGAGTCAGTGCATCAAGAGCCACCACACACAGACGGCTCCTGGACATGGGCTTCACATGTTGTATTCCTCCTGTCAAGCTGCTCCTGAACAACAAACAACGTCAGAGGCATCTTACCTGGGCTAAAGAAAAATAGACCTGGTCTGTTGCTCAGTGGTCCAAAGTCCTCTTTTCTGATGAGAGCAACTTTTGTATCTCATTTGGAAACCAAGGACACTGCAAGATGCTTGAAGTCCAGCGTGAAGTTTCCACAGTCTGTGTTGATTTGGGGAGCCATGTCATCTGCTGGTGTTGGTCCACTGTGCTTCATTAAGTCCAGGGTCAACACAGCCATCTACCAGATTTTGGAGCACTTCATGCTTCCTTCCGCAGACGAGCTTTATGGGGATGCTGACTTCATTTTCCAGCAGGACTTGGCACCTGCCCACACTGCCAAAAGCACCAAAACCTGGTTCAATGACCGTGGGATTACTGTGCTTGATTGGCCAGCAAACTCGCCTGACCTGAACCCCATAGAGAATCTATGGGGCATTGCCAAGAGAAAGATGAGAGACATGAGACTGAACAATGTAGAAGAGCTGAAGGCCGCTATTGAAGCATCCTGGTCTTCCATAACACCTCAGCAGTGCCACAGGCTGATAGCTTCCATGCCACGCCGCATTGAGGCAGTAATTGCTGCAAAAGGGGCCCAAACCAAGTACTGAGTACATATGCATGCTTATACTTTTCAGAGGTCCGATATTGTTCTATGTACAATCCTTGTTTTATTCATTGCATGTAATATTCTAATTTTCTGAGATAGTGGATTTGGGGTTTTCATGAGCTGTAAGCCATAATCATCACAATTATGACAAATCACGGCTTGAACTATGTTGCTTTGCATGTAATGAGTCTATCTCATATATTAGTTTCACCTTTTAAGTTGCATTACTGAAATAAATGAACTTTTGCACGATATTCTAATTTTTTGAGTTTCACCTGTACAAAAGCACAAATTTATGAGATGACAGTATATATATAATAAGATAAAAATCTACAGGCAGTTATATCACAATTTGATTGTATATGGGTGCAAGCGATAACAAGATATGAGTGGTAACTATTAGAGTGTTAATGAATAAAAACTAAAAAAGTGTTTTGGTAAATATAAATGCATGCTATTCATCAACACTAAATCTGAAATGGCAAAGGGTAGAAAACAGACAGATTACAGCCCTTTCAGATGGGGTGGAATTCATTTGCACTGATCTCTCATGTCTGTGTCCACTCACATAGCCCGCTCAGCATTATAGGCAGGCAGATGTAAATAGATTTGTATCTGTTTACACCCACTGCCATCTAATCCAATCCACCCAGACAGAGGGAAGCAGATCCCCTTTCATTTGTTTTTGGTGGATCGGATTGGAGGTAGGCAGGTGTACATGGACACAAGTCCGTTTACGTCCGTTGCTCTAATAGAGGAGAATGGAAGGTCTGATCAGGTCTGCATAAAAAACAGGTGGCCCTGATCAGACCAATCGTTTATTTGTTCTTGGGTAATTAAACAGAAATGTGCCATATGGGGTACTCACCTGGCATTCATTACCCAGTGGATGTGAACATTGAATAGAAAATCATTCATTCCAGAGTCTGGCTATTCATTCTATTTATCTTGCACAGCCCTAGGCCATGTATATACTAATAAGGTCTACACAACATTTAATTTTCTCTACTGACGGCGGTCACATGATCGGGAAAGGTCCTGATCGAAAGAGCAGATCGGGACTTTTCTGTGAGTACCGGACATGTGTGCTGGGAGCGCGCAGGACACGCGCTCTCAGCACATGTTTTTCTTAATTGCACACAAATGTGTGGCAGCTCAGCGTATAGGCCCAGACGCTGGGAGGCTGCACATTTGTGTGCGGCTGACGTGAAGAGGTTAAAGTTTAAACATTACATTTATCTTGGAAAAAAAAGACATTTACTGTTTCGGAGAACTAGAAAATGAAGTGGGGTAATAGAAAAGGAAATTTGATCATTGTAGGAAAAAAACTCACCTAAATGTCCTCCATATTGTTTAATGTCTTCTGCCATTTTGAGCTGACTAGTAACATTGTAAACTCTAGACATTACATACTGGTTCCTTATTGAAAGGGCTTTCTTTCATTGTTTCCAAAACCTCAGTGAAAACTGCATGAGCCTGCTCAAAGTCTTCTTTAACAAAAGGGAGTTCTTCTGAGAATAATTCCCTGTGTGATTTCAGAGCATCGATAACAGCAATCTGAGCCATCATCAGATTGGAGTCTAAAAGAGCCTGATAACCCCCTCCATGAGGCACCACTCTGTCCTGCTGGAGAACAGCTCCTTGTGTTCTGGATTTTTTACCACTTAGTGGCTCACAAAAAATATCACCCAAAACAGATACTGCACCCGAAGCAGACACCAGACTTCCCAGGGGAATGACATCACCTATGAATGGGCAAATAAAACAAATAATGATAAAATTATTTTTTTTTTCAATTACTATAATAACTTAGTATGATATTCAAATATTTTATTATAAATTTTCAAAAACACAATGTTTCATATACATAAACCAATAAAACCACCAGAGTATGACACTTATATTTATCTAACCATATATCGAAATATTAATCTTGCTCATGGTATCCTTTTTCCCCTCTCCCTTCCCCTCCCTCCTACCCCTTACCCCATACCTCCCCAGCCTCCAAACTTTCCCTCGCAGCCCTGATTCTTTTCTTTCCTACTCATTCTATTAATCCTATTTAAAAAATTACTTTTTTTAATTTACTATTACAATTACAATTGTCCTCCATGGCTTCTTTTCTCTAGTACATATATTCCAGGTATGAATTTGACTTTTTAAATACCTCCCACTTTTCCCATCTTATACGGAAAATCTCCATCCTATCTTCATCCATATAGTAAAGTTCCTCCAATTTATAAGTCCTCTCCACCCTTTCTATCCAGTCTTTTACTCTCGGTGCCTGTTGTTCCCTCCAGAGTTTGGGTATCAGGCCCTTCGCTGCATTCAGGTAATACACCTGAGAACTCAGAGCCATAGAAAAGACAAATCTCTGGTTCCTTTGAAATATTTACCTCCATTATTTCCTGTATTAAGTGTACTATACTGTGACGATCCCAGGATCGCTGCCACCAATATGTGACGATCCCATGATCGCTGCCACCAATATGTGACGAACACGGCGTCAGACCCCAGCCCTTCTCACCAAACTTGTGACCAAAGGACTAGCCAATCTAAAACCGCAATGTCACGTGCGTAACATTGCCACACCCAGCTGCACCCTGCACAATGATTTTCCAGCTAATTGGACCACAATCTATGTACTGGCAGCCTGAATGCGATTGTTACTGGGTCAGGTTAATTACGCAATTAACACTTCACACTGCCACCACCTCCTTTTTGTACAGAGAAAGAGGAAACTCTGCGATATCAGCCATAGCGCTATATTGGATGAGATAATCGTCTGTATAACACGGTCACAGGCTGGTTATACGGAGGGTTAAACAAACACAGTAGCGCTCTTTTAGAGGCAGGAATTCGTAAATTGCAATAAACAGCTATAGAAACAGTGCAACACTTTCAGAAGGAAAGATTTATGACTAAAAAGGTCAAAGGGGTGCAATAAAAATATTTACAGAAAAAAGATGTAATCAATATATATAAATATACAGAGAACAACAGCACAAGACTGTCTGTCCTATACATTTTACCTAAAATACACAAGAGCTTGACCAATCCCCCTGGAAGACCAATCATCAGTGGGATTGGATCGCTATGCTCTAGAGCAGGAGAGTACATAGGACACTTCCTGCAGCCTTTAGTCATGAAAACGCCATCTTACTTACGGGATACCAAACAAGTTTTACAAGATATTGGGAATATCACTACTCATAGTAGAACCTGAACTTTTAGAATTTGCGATGACCAAGAATTATTTTTGGTTTAATAATCAATCTTACTTGCAAACTAAGGGGGTTGCCATGGGAGCTAAATTTTCTCCCAGCCTGGCCATTCTCTTTATGGCCAGGTGGGAGGAGGATATTATTTATGGTCGAGATTGGCCAGAGCTCTCATTTTACAGACGTTACATAGATGACATATTTTTAATCTGGAATGGTGAAGAACGAGCATTATTAAACTTTTTTAGTACCCTTAATTACAATATGCACAATATCAAACTTACATACGAATACAGAACTTTAAGTGTCCATTTCCTTGATTTGACCTTGTTTAACCAAGAAGGGAAGATTGTTACTGAATCCTTTTTCAAAGTTACAGATAGAAACAGTTACATCCCCCTCAACAGTTGCCACCATCCAATATGGTTACGCAACATTCCCAAGAGCCAGTTTCTCAGAATCAGGAGAAATTGCACCAACACTGACACTTATCTTTCTCAGGCTGTCATCCTCAAAGACCGTTTCCTAGAAAAAGGATATGATGAAGACACACTGAATGATACTATCAAAGAGGTGGCTGGTATTGACAGAGACACAATTTTACATAAAGTGAATACACAAAGACAACCCAAACTGTGTCCGTTTGTAACAAATTTTTCAATACAGCACAAGGCTATCTCCAAGATAATTAAAGATAATTGGAAAATATTGAAAGCTGACCCCATTTTAACCAACTTCTTGCCTGATAGACCAGAAATATCATTTAGGAAGGCCTTACCACTACGGAACAGAATAGCCCCCAACGTGGTCATTCCCCCCACCAATATCTCGTTTCTTGCAGGATTAAAAGGATTTTTTCCTTGCAATAAGTGTATTATTTGCCTTTGTAACAGAACTAGAAAGAAAAAGACTGAAACCTTTAATTCAACAACAACAGGCAGAAGCTACAACATTGACAATTTCATTAGGTGCAATAGCAAGTTTGTAGTATATTTACTACAGTGCCCGTGCAAAAAACAATATGTTTCATAGACAATAGCTAATTACACTCAGCAATTTTTTGACATCGCCATTTTAGACCTCCTTATAGTGTTGATTCATCATTTTATTGCCATTCACCATTTTTGACATTTTGCACATTTTTTTAATTTTATTTCCTTATTTTGGTGTCATTCTATTCTATTCTGCCGTTACCCATTCCATTTATTCCCTTAGAATTTTTGGCATGATATATAGCCATCTCACTTACAACAATATATACCGACTTTTTTGGTTCAATTGAATTTCAGGTCCATTCTATTCTATATAGATTTTTACTATCCTATTCTATATATATTATATATTTATTTATTATATTATATCTTTTTTTTTTTTTTTTTTTGATAGGATTATATCCAAACCCATTTTTTACGCAGGATCATTTATATTGGATATTCCTCTCTTTTGGATTTGAAATTTATACATTATGATTCTTGGTCATCGTATTTTATACATTTCTACTATTTTTATTCTTTATTTTTATTTCTATTTTATTTTTGATTTTATGCATATTCTATTTCATATTTTTATCCTATTTTCGCATGAGTTTATATTATGAACATTGCCTGCTATATATTATTTTATTATTTTATCACAACCATGCGCTTGCTATAACCTAATGGATTTTTATATTATATTTATATCTATTATATGTAAGACCATGAATATGTCTATTTTTATTGTTTATCTATTATTTATGCTTAGATTGCACCACAGCAGCTTTCCATCGAGCGCTCACTTTTCTTTTTCTACAGATTGGGGATATATGTTGATTACATTGAAAGTATAGGGGATGGGACCTAGAATGAGAGAGTGGATAAGGAAATTATATAGTCAACCCTCTGCAGCAATCATGGTTAACCACTTGCCTACCGGGCACTTATACCCCCTTATTTACCAGGCCAATTTTCAGCTTTCAGCACTGTCGCACTTTGATTGACAATGGCGTGGTCATGCAAGATTGTACCCATATGAAATTTTTATCATTTTTTTCTCACAAATAGAGATTTCTTTTGGTGGTATTTAATTGCTGCTGGGCACTTTACTTTTTGTGCTATAAGCAAAAAATGTGCAAAAAATTTAAAAAAAAAAAAAAAAGTTTTTTTGTTTCTATTATAAAAAATTTTTCAAACAGGTAATTTTTCTCCTTCACTGATGTGCGTTGATGAGGCAGCACTGATGGGCACTGATAGGCGGCACTGATGGGCACTGATAGGCAGCACTGAAGGACACTGATAGGCGGCACTAATGAGGTGGCACAGATAGGCGGCACTGATAGGCAGCACTAATGAGGTGTCACGGATAGGTGGCACTGATATGCGGCACTGATTGGTGGCACTGATAGGTGACACTGATAATGGGTACTGATAGACAGCACTGATAGGTAGCACTGACTGACATCACTGCTGGGCACTGACTGGCGGCACTGCTGGGCACTGACTGGCAGCACCGCTGGGCACTGACTGGTGGCACTCACTGGCAGCACTGCTGGGCTGCACTGATGGGCACTGGTGGGTGGCACTGGTGATCACAGGTGGGTGGGCACAGGTGGGTGGCACTACTGGGCACAGGTAGGTGGCACTTCTGGGCACAGATGGTGACACTGCTGGGTGGCACAGGTGGGCGCACTGCTGGGCACAGGTGGGTGCATTGCTGGGCACAGGTGGGCGCACTGCTGGGCACAGGTGGGTGCACTGCTGGGCACAGGTGGGTGCATTGCTGGGCACAGGTGGGCGGAACTTGTGTGTGGCACTGCTGGGCACCGATCATCAGGGCACTGGTGATCAGTGACCCTGATGATCGGTGCCGATCCCCGCTCTGACAACTGCCGGTTTTCGGCAGTACTTTCCTCACGATCTGACAGCGTGAGGAAAGTGCAGCCAAGAACCGGCATTTGCATTTTCCCGGTGATCAGCGTGTCATTGGACACGGCTGATCACGTGGTAAAAGGCCGCTGTGATTGGCCTTTTACCATGTCACGTGATCAGCTGTGTCCGTAGGACACAGCGATCATGGAGATCGCCGGGGGCGCGCAGGAGAGCACGTTCTGGGTGGACGTCATATGACGTCCCACCCAGAACTGGCCGGCCGCAGTGCAGCCATAATTCGGCTATCTGCGGTCGGCAATTAGTTAATGGGGAGTATTTTGAGATGCAGAACGGAACTAGACAGGGATGCCCTTTGTCTCCATTTCTATATGTTTTATCATTGGAATCTCTTTTGGCTACAATAAGGAATAATATAGATTTAATAGGAATTTGGATAGGAGATACGGAGCATAAGGTGGCAGCTTATGCAGATGACATAATGTTCTATGTGGGAAACCCAAGGATAACATTGCCAAATTTAATGAAATCACAGAAAGAATATGGAGAGATGTCAAATTTAAAAATTAACCCAACAAAAACAGAAATTTTAAACATAAATCTTCTAAATAGAGAGAAAAATAGGTTACAGGAGGAATTTGCAGGCTGATGAGACAATGCTTGACTTGAAACTTGATATCCACTATCCAGGGAGGATTACTCGGCAGGGAATGTGCAACCATATAGATCCACTTCATTCAGAAACCACCACGTCCATAGGATATTTGGACAACCACTCGGGATATAAGAGAACAAAAGCAACACTATTTAAGAGTTATTTTGGGACTTTATATGATTTATATATATATATATTTATTATTATTTTTGGACACTTTCGTTTTTACTAGCGCAATCTGTTTGTTTTATCATTTATGCACCTTATGGATATAGGGCTGATTCTGCAGCTGGTATAATTTATTTATTTTTATATTGTGAGATATATATTTTCGTGGCACTATCTATATTTATCTGTATATACAGGAGGAATTTCCCTTTGTTTGGAGAGAAAATGAATTGAAATATCTAGGAATAAAATTAACTGTGTCCTCCAAGAACTTGTATAAATTAAATTATATCCCATTGTTAAATGAGATCAGGGATGAACTAAGGAAATTAGGAGGGGAACCCTTCATGGATAGGTTGTATAAATTTGAAATGATACCAATTAAACTCCCAGAAGTATACTTTATATCAATTAAAAAAATGTTAATAAGATTTATTTGGAGGAACAAAAAACCGAGAATAAGCCAGGAAATTTTATGTAGGAATAAAGAGAAAGGAGGATTGGGAGTCCCAGATTTAAAAAGATATTATAACTCGGTAATAATGGCAAAAAATTTTTGACTGGACATATAATGCAGAGGGGAAAAGCTGGGTTAAAATAGAAAATATACCAAGTAATACTAAATTAAGTGGAATTGTATGGTTACCTCCACAATACAGAGGATTATCAGAAAGTACAAGTTTGTTCACATTTAATGTTTTAAGAGTTTGGGATGTTTCACACAAAAACAGATGGGATGGGAATTTAATTAATTGGTAATGCCCTTAACGTCCGCAGAGTTTTTTCCCCCCGGGTAAAGAAGGTATCACAGGGAATGGAATAAGAAGAAAGATGCAGAATTAAGGGATATAATGGTGGGGGAGGAAATAGGATCACTTAAGGAATTTTTAAAAAAAAATTGATGAGTGGCATTATTTTCAATTGAAACACTTTATAGGAAAGCTTCCAAAGCCTTTAAGAATAAGAGAGGACAGGAATCCTTTTGATCACTTGTTAGGTACATGGGGAGATGGGAAACACGGAACCTCTAAAATATATAAGATTCTCACTGAAATAAACGCAGATATACATCCTCCATATATAGAAAAATGGGAAAGAGAAATAGGAGTTACAATAGATGTGGAAAAACAGAGGAAAATGTATAGAATAATCCACAGAAATATAAATATGCAGGAGGTAGAAATGAATTATAAGTGTTTGGCAAGATGGTATATCACACCGAGTGTGGCACACAGATTGAGTGGAGATAATTCACCTTTATGTTGGCGTGGATGTGGAGGTAGAGGCACAATGTATCACATATGGTGGAAGTTTTCTAAAATACTGTATTGGGGGAAAATAGTAAGCTTGATTCAGAAAATTACAGAGGTTGATATTCTAGTAGACCCAGAGATTTGCTTTTTTCATAGTACTAAGCTTTCAGTTAAAAAATGCAAAGAATCTGGTTTATTGTACTATTTGAATACAGCAAAGGGACTGATACCCAAGTATTGGAGGAGACAGGAGGTGCCGAAAATAAAAGACTGGGTGGATCAAATATGTAAATTATTGGAGGAAATTTATCATTTGAATGAAGATAAGATGGAGATTCACCATGCATGATGGAACAAATGGGAGGAATTCAAAAAGTCAAGGCTAGCCTCAGAGGTTATGAGGGATTAACATAGAATAATATGGAAACATATTTTGTTCTTCTTTTATAGGGATTACGATCTCCAGAAATGAACAGGAAAATGCAGAGCAGAAGGGGTCAGGGATTGGACGGGGAGGATGGGAGGGATGAAATGATAAATGTTTTGATAATAAGCTAAGGTTTTAATGAGTATGTTTGTATAACTTGTTTATCTGAAAAATTAATAAATATTTAAATTAAAAAAAAAGATTTGGTCAACTTGTGTGAAATCTCAGCAATTACTGTCCATGTGTTCTCCACTGTTGACCATTTTGTATAATCCAGAGCTCCCAGATAGTCTGTCCTACTCACAGATGAACCCTTGGGCATTTAATGGAATATTCCAACTCTGCAAACTGGTCAATCCCAGAATTTGATCATATGAGGAGATTAGGGCATGGAAATCCACAATACCTGAGTTGGCCAGGTACACTTACTTGCAATTTCGTCACTTCTTCCGCTCCCTGAATTCCTCCTTAACGTTAGTTCGCCCTACAGATTTCCAGAGGATAGCTATTAAGGGTCCCTTCCCAGCATCATCTTATCACCTCTCTATATAAACTGCTTCTCAATCAGGGGTCTATGGTTGAGAGGCCCCACCGTTATATGAGGAGATGGGAGGATGAACTCCAATGTTCAATTTCTTTGAAGTGTTGGCAGTTGATGTGGGATTCTGCTGCCAAGATCTCTCGCTGTGTTGTATACAAAGAAAGCATAAAAAGTGTTGATGCATTGGTATAAGACCCCTGTAGTTCTCCATGATATTAACCCAAATCTGTCTGATAAGTGCTGGAGATGCATGGGAGGAGTAGGTACACTGGATTACATTTTTTGGATTTGTCCACAGATTGCAGGCTATTGGGCCATGGTTTAAACGGTATTGGAACAAGTACTTAATGCCCCTAGACCCATTACATTATCTTTTGGGCTTACCCTTTAGGGGTATCCCCAAACTATCTAAAAGGCTGGGAGTACATATTCTGTGATACCACTATTTTGGAAATCATCAGATGTCCCCACACAAAAATCACCTTTTAAGGGCAATCTCTGAAATGGAATACCTTACAGCTCTAGTGGGTGAACATTCAGGTAATTTGCACTCTATTTGGGGGCCAAGGGACCACTCTCCCTTTGGTAAGCTTCCTCCCCCCCCCCTCTCCCCCTTCCTCTTATATAGTCCAGACACTTTTTCAAGCAATATGCCTTTGACAAATAATATAGTCTAATGATGTGCAGGTTTATGTTGATTCATGGTTTCGAATTGTGCAGATTAAAATGCTGTTCACTTATGTTCATATCTTTTCTAATTTTGTTTTCTTCAATGCTAACGATAGATTTCTTTCATTGCAATGTTTACACATCAAGTGTTATTGTTGTAACTGTGTTCTGTTTTAAAAAAAAAATCAGGGGCATTTACAATTTCAAAAAATAAAAGCTGTATGGATCAAGGCGCAAAAAGGTGATGCACGTCCTGACCTTTTAAATCTTCATGAAAGCATTAATGATACACACAAACATTGAAAAATAAATAAGAACAAGCACATGACCAGCTGCGAGATACAGCTCCAGCAACTCTAACCTGTGGCAAGCTGCCAGGTAGACATGTACAACATGTGTGCTGAATACAGTCCCAATGTTACCATTGTTGTTGTCCCAGATCAACTGTACAGCTGATGAGTCACTTATTTTTCCACAAACATACAAAACTGAACTGTTACCTGTAGCTAAGTTGATACCTTATTTAATTCGATCAGCTACGCATCCAGGCCAAGTGTTGAATGAGATTCCTACGTCTGTCTCCCTTTGTTCTCCACATCCCAGTGCTGCAAGAGATTCTTACCCCTGTGTTCCCAGCACCTTAGTGATGAAAGGGATCCTCAGTCTGTTTCCCTGTGTTCCCAGCTGCTTTGTTTTGAAAGAAACCCTTGTCTTTCTCTGAACCCAACACCTCAGCACTCCCAGATACCTTTGCTGTCTTTCTGTGTGTTTGGCACTTATCTACATTCAGAAACCGTCTTCTTTCATGAATCCTGTTTCTGGTCAGCTTGGTACACTGGGGGACGCAACCTGGGAGCTTCACCATAAGGATCTCAGGTGAAGTCTGGGCACTCCTTACAATCTGCACCTGCAGGATGCACTGTGGCCTCACAATCCTCAGCCATATGTAACAATTCACAACCATACATGACAGATGTTAAAAAGTGATTTATTTGCCTGATGATAGATGTCTTTGGCCAGCACCAACTATTAAAAATTAATTAACTGGTATATGCTTTAAACCAGTGGTGGTCAACTTTCATGGCACATCAAGACTTACTTGTGGCTCCTTATATCACCTAAAGGGTATACATAATATTCAGGTAGCATAATGTTACAGAAAGCTGTCAGAGACTTCAGGCATGCTATGGCAGATAGTCAAACTGCTAACATGCTATAGGAGTTTTGATGAAATTACAAAACACAATATATAAACACCACATTTTAAGCATAAGTAAAGAGTAAATTCACTATGTGTACAAATAAATATTTTAACTCAACAAAAAATTATATGAATGTGTTCCCAAATGCAAATAATCCTGGTAATTGTGAAAAGAAAATCCCACTGCTGCTACCTTCTGC